TTTGAGTCTCTTTGGGAGCTGACCCGGTTATCCGGTCCGTTTTTGACTGTGTACAGAGTGATCGGGATGGGCTGACCCACATACGCAATTGACCCGCTTATGCGGTGACCCACTTACGCGGTCCGGACTGTAGATTGGCTGGACGCGGATGAGTCAGACGCCTTTTCCATGTCTTGACGACGAATCTTCTTGCAAGACCGCTCAGATTGCATCACTTTGGGCGGTGTATGTGGATCAATGCCTGAGAGAAAAGAGTCCTGCCATCTCTACGTGAGAATAAGAGTCTTTGATGGTAGGCCCCGTAAATTGCGTATACGCAATTACTATTCCTTTGCTCCCCCGCCGTGTCATTATCATCCAGACAGTCAGGGAAGGCAAACACGATAGACAGCCTTTCCTCTCGCCGCGGCAGCAGGTTCTCCAACCGCCCCCACCTGCACACAAACACGCAGAGAGATAAGCCTGGATGGATGTCTACACCCGTCATCTCTCTCGGTCTGTCTGACTTACCAGTCACAGACGAGCGGCTCGCCGTTTTCCTGCAGCACCTCCACACCCGCCCGAATGCCGTGGTTCAAGTTCTGCATGCCAGAAAGGTCAGTCAGAAAGCCAGAGACAGCGTGGCATGTCAATCACACCTGCCTTGAGCACGGAGGGAGTCTTCCGCTTAGCTTACATAGCGTGCGTCCCCCGAGAAGCTGACTAACGAACGGAGTCTAAAGAGGCAGTCAATGTCGCTGTCGGTCCAGGATGACCGAGCAATCTGAGCAGGGTTCTTGCGCACACCTGCCCAGCCCACGCAAATGCGCACAACAGACACGAACGAACAGATGAGAGAGAGGGCCGCCTGCCACGCACACGCGGCGGTGGCTGCTGCTCACCGGTGGGGCAGTCGACGGGCGAGAAGGTGATGACAGTGCCAGAGAGGAGACCCAGAATGAAGACGTGAGGGCCGTCGGTCATCGGATCGACGTGGGCGTCGAGTTTGAAGAATCGAGAGTGGCGGTAGTTGATGGTGATGTCGCGCAGGGCGCCAACGTGATAGTCATGAGAGCTTCGGATGCGGTCAACCACCACCCGAAGGGACGGAGGGACCTTGGATTCATCGAAGTCCTCGGCGTAGCCCCACGGTGCACGTACCTGACGAGGACTCTCGTACCTCCCTGTCACCCCTGATCAACGAACAGACGGGAATCCTGTTTTAAGAATGCATTCGTGTGTGTGCATGCCATGCCTACTTGTCATGTTGACTTTGCTGGACTTGGCCTCAAGGTCAGTCGGTGAACCGCCCTTGGCGTCACCGTTCATCACTGACGCTCCCGCTTCTGGGTCCCCTCCCTCCTCCCTGGTCGCCGTCGATGTTTTGTGTGGCGGCGGCACACTCATCTCCTCCTCAAGGGCGAACACACGCAGCCCCTGTCCTGCAAGGTGGTCGATGCCGTACTTTGATATGATCTCCTTGAGCTCCTTGACAATGGCTTCGCTCTCCTCCTCGCTGACAAAATTCGGTTCGACCCGTACGCCTGGGTTCATCAACGCTGGCACAGGCTGGCCTTTCATATCCCTACCAACCAAAACAACAGCCGCTTAGTACACATGTCAGCTAGCTGCGCTGTGTGCGTGTCTGTGTACCTGAGCCTTTCCTGGTCCGTATCGTTGAAGGGTCGATGGCGGAACTGGATAGAATACACACGAAAATGAAAAGAGAGAATTCATTACTGGTCCACTCTGCGTTGCCGTCGTGTGGTGTGTGCTGAGCATCACACGCGTACGTACTTGCGGCACGAAGCTGTATCTAAGCTTGCCGTCCTCGGTCTCTATCTCTTCGGCATGCTTGACGCCATACTCCCGACGAATGAATGCCACTCTCTCCTCCCTGGTGCCGTGCACCGGCAGTCTGCCGTGACGGCCCGCACTCCTGCTGGGCTCCGATCCCTCGTCCTCCTCATCGCCCAGCGGCTGGTGGCTGTCTTTGGCGTCATGGTTGTGCAGCTTCTCACAGTGAGCCACAGGAGGGAATCGGCTGCACGACAGGAAGCGCCGTGACGACGGGGCGTCTGGATCTGACCGACGGCTGTCTTGGGACCTCCTCAGCGCCCTTCGGCAGACCAGGAGCGCTCCAGCTGAAGGAAAGAGAAACACAAAAATGGCATATATTGTGGATCGACATTTCAGGACTGATGAGTCCACCTACTTGCCAAGACTGCAGTCGCCTTTGCGGACAGGGGCGCAGCGTTCCAGGGCAAACTCATTTTCGTCGACGCAGCGTTCCCGAACGACCGGGTGTAGGGTTTGGGCAGAACCCTAGACCCTCACAATGGTTGGGATGGATGGAATGGACTTTAGTAAGAATTTCCCACTCCCATTCAAGGGCCACTCCATACATGAATGGGAGACTCTCGCCTCTTCCATCCCCGACCATGGGTACTTAGCTGCTGACTTTTATTGCACGTGGGCCTGTAGATCGAACTCGGCTGACCTACTGACCTACTGACTCACCACTCGGCATCAAACTTACAGTCGCATCGTCTCGAACTTAGTCCCGCATCAAGAATGTGGGAGATCCCAGGCCTCACCAGCGATGTTTCCTAGCATACATGTCCAAAGATCACAGCTGAGGCAAGGCACCGGACATGTTAAGAGGCTGGATGGTCATAGTACGGATGAGCCGAGAAGGGACAGAGCTCTCTCAGACGGACAGGGCCATACACGGCAGGCTGCAGCGCGCGCAGTACGAACAGGCTGATGTAGGGCGCCCACAATGCTGTGAACACAGCAGTCGCGGCTAACAGTGTTTTCAGCCTGAACGTTAGGACTCCGGGCTCGGCCTGACTTCGCAGAATTGGCAGGTTGTGGAGACGCACCGACACCTGCAGACATCCATAGCACAATCAGGGGATGACAGTACGGCCGCGCATGTCTAAAGGCTGCCATCGCATATGTCTCCCTTCGCTAGTCCCCCCACTGACCATAAAGAGGATGACTTCGCATGCCATCTCGATTGCGACCAGGAGACACAGCCCGCCCAACCTCTCGAACAGCCGGGACAGCGAGAAGGGAGACAGCAGCTGCTCCATCGATATGAGTGATAGATTGATGAAAATCAGAATCAGGCTCTCGGCCTGGTTGTAGGCGTGAGTTTGGTCGCTCAGAGCTCTGAGGTACCTCGGGCGGACGTCATATGCCATGAAATTGCTCTGCAGATCGATCACGGATGTCATGGATGATGGCCCACTTGTTGTCGACCGCATGCGGCCTGCCCGCATCACACTCTGATGGATCTCACTCGACGATCGCCGCGGCTCCCCACTGCCGGCTCGGTTGATGAATAGCGCTGCTCCCTTGGTGCTCGTTGCCCGTGTGCGGGTTGTCTCGCTGCTGCCTGAAGTCTCGGAAAGGCCATGGAGGCCAGCCGTGTCTCCCGCTTTGGGCCAGCGGCTGTCGCGGATACGTGTGCACATTCGGATGATCTTGGCGTGGAGCATGTCAGCATAGGGCACTGCCAGGTCACCCAGAAGATCGTAGAGGGCGAACAGCAGAGACGACTTGATCTTGTAGCTGAGGGCAGTCATTTCAGCCTGCACAGGGGGAATGCTTCTGAACATCCATGTGTTGAGAAGTCATCATTCTCACTTGCAGGAAGCGAGGTACGATTAGCGAGATCAAAACGATTGGGAAGATAACGCAGTAGTTGAATAGAGGAGGGCCGTCCCGCATCTTGCGACAAAGGCCATTCACGGTCGCCACCAAAGGAAAGCAGCTTAACAAACAGACGACCGCCAGTCGTGTCTTCTCGCTGTCCGTTGTGGCCCCCTCAGCTTTTGGCAGAAAGAGCCTCCCCCACACATGCGAGGCAGCCCATGGTGTATACACAAGGAAGGTCATCTGAATCGTATACAGCATCCGCCTCTTGACCACCCCCGGCATGTCTCTCGACACATGCCAGAAAAACCAGGGGATTATCACGGTGTATAGTGCCCTTTCCAATCTGTAAGAGCGAAGCAGGAAGTACCCATTGACAGAAGCAGATGCAGCCAGCGTCACAGGCCACATAGCTCCCAAACTGCATGTCTCACTTACGCAAAGGATATCAAATATATAGGTGTCAGCTGGGGGGATATGGCCAAGCTGCGGGCGATAGCATGAGCTGCTACGGTGATCGCCCAAAGAGCCCACAACTGGCGGATGCGCCGGAGTATTCGACGTGGGCGGCACCCCTCAACCAGTGCGACAAACCAAACAACAAATCCCGACCAGCCGATCGCAATGCGCGCGAAGTCAATAACAACGCCCCCCATGTTAGACTCGCAACCCTTCCACACCAGCGGCACCGCCAAGACCAGCGGCACCGCTAGAATAAGTGCGAAAAGCACTTGTAAGATAACCACTTGCATCACTCGCCGCAATGACCGCATGAATGGCTCAGGGAGTAAAACGCGCGCCAATCAGCACCTCCCTCACGTGGATTGTCTCTCCATCATCCACCACATTCTGCTCGTAGACGAGGTGCGATTCGAACTCCTCGAAGGCCGCCGGGTATCCTGCAGACAGCGGTGCGGACAAGTCCAAAGATGCAACATTTGTGCTGTTGTGTCAAAACCCCGTTCCCACGATTCACCAGCAGCCTTTTCGAATTCCGATTTCATTGCCTTGATGGCCATCTCTTCGGCCCTGTTGGCTGGCGGCCCTCCTGCCCCCTCCTCAGAGATGTCCTGGAGAGTGGTCGACTGTGACGCCCCATGATGACAGGCGCTCCGAAGACCATTGGTTTGGCACGAAGGACTCGTCCCTTGTTGAAGATTAAGGTCCAGGAGGCACTCGTTGCTGTGGACCTCTTTGTCGAGCGCTTCTTCCGAATCGGTCGCGAGCTGTTTGGGCCGCTCCTGCTGCTCAACCGACTGTGTTGCGCACGTGTCCTCGCAGCTGGGGCCGAGGCAGGTGTGCATGTCCTCCTGAAGACCACATTCATGCCGCCCCTCACCGCCGTTCCCAGGGCCGGGCTCGGCGGGCTGTGGTGGGGCCTCCGACTCATCGTCGCTACGGCTGACACGTGGGCTGGCAGCATCACCATTGAGTGGGGGGTGGACACCATTGGCTGCGGTCATATGTAGCGCCATTATGTCGCCGGATAACAATCGCTGGCGCGAGCCGGAGAGCTCGCGATCCGATTCCGGACAAGAACCCACCGCAGAATGGCGAATGAAGATGTCACATCGATGGTTCTGCACCGATCTGCTCTGTACGTTGTTTCGGCCGATTGGTTTATCCGTCGGGGGCAAGGCGCAACGAGGGCGAATAAGGGGCGGGATGCACAGCTGACCAAACCATATGTGGAGCTGGGCACGCCCGATGTTGGGGCTCTCGGAAAGCGAATAAGCGGAGGGGCGGCTGCCACGTGAGCGGCAAGCCAAGGAACTTCAAGGCGGAAGGGTCACCGTGCGTCACATCTGTTGCTTGATTTTCGGTGTTGCAGGACAGCATTGAGCCTGAAGGGCGGCGCGGCTGTGTTCGAGGAAGAGGAGGACAGCACTGCAGAGGCACGGGTGCTCAGACAATGGAAGTAAGCCTGCCTGAGTGACTCACAGGATCTATACTTGTCATGTTTCTACCGGGGCTTTGATACAGCGAGGACAGCAGTAACCACTTGGATGTGCCCAAGGTGGCGGCCAAGAAGCAAGGGGCTGGCGCCAGCATCATTTGGTGAGCTTCTGTTGAGCAGACGCAGACGCAGATGCGACCGGCGTTGTCCTCTCCACGCAGGTCGGCGCTGAGCGACGCCAAGTCCCGCACGGTCACATGCAAGAGCCAGGTAACCTTCAAGCACCCCCCCGACGCCACACCCCAACGCACTCATGTCTTGTCTTGATTGATGAATGCAGAAAGCCCACCACGAGGTCTACCCCAGCATTTTTGCAGACAGAGAGGCAATCGACCTGGAAACTACAAGGGCTCTGGTCCCCGCTCGCGCAAAAGAGCACGTCGAATGGGATGTCCGACGTCATGACGAGGCACGAAGGATGTCAAGAAGCGGCTCGGTTCCATCCATTCACCCGAGTGTGAGGGCTTCCATGCTCAGCACTATGGGCCATCGGCATTCACAGAGCACTGCATATGTCGAGAGCATCTTGGAGAGGGTATGACGAAGAGGGAGGCTCATCACCTGTGTCCATCACGCGCATTTCCTTCCTGTATTTGGTTGCTGCAGCGTCTTTCGTCAGCCAAACGCCGCTCGACCCTGTTGTCCATGGCCGAGGTGCCAGTCGGAAGGCGCGACAGCAGGCGAGAGAGCTGCCTGTCGCACGAGGGCGAGACATCCAGGCAACGGTGACCACCCATACTCTTTCGTCTCCCTCCTTTTTCACCACCAGCAATTGATTTCTCCGTGTTGTTCTCTTTGTCCTTCGCCCTCTCTGCGATATAGCCGGTCCTTCTATGTCTCGGCGCTCTCATCCAAGCCAAGGTGCGCAAACGTCTTCAACCGTGGGTTTGATGCAAGGAGCCATGTGGCTGTCACGCTCTCTCTGTGTGCGCAGACCGCTCCCCGTGCGTCTGCCCACATTGAAGGAATACATTGACCAAACACTGGGGCGGGTCACAGGGCGACAAGAAGGTACCCATGAACGCAACAGGCAGTCCACACACAAAGTCACGTCATGCACCTGTATGCACACGTGTGGCAGAGAGCACGGAGGAGTCAGGGGCCGTGGCAGGCATGCCGCCCGTCATGACGGCAGCCCGCAGGAATGAGTGGATTGCGAGGATGAACAAGAAGCTCAACGACGTCAGCCGCGACTTCATGAAGCAGCGGTCAGCCTTCCTTGCGGAGGGCCTCCGGGACAGCCGCGGTCTGCCCAACCCCTCCCCTTCTCCCTCGGCACTGGGGGTCCTTCCCAGCCAGCCTGTCTCATCCACTAGCTCGCCACAGGGCACACGAGCTGGAGCCTTTCTCACCGAAATGAGAACTGGCGGCGCTGGCGGAGAAAGCCCTACGGCAGGAGGGGCTGATGGCGAAGAGACACGGCCGAGACAAAGCGACATGGACATCTACATGCGCTTCTTGGGCCTGCTGCGACAGCGAGGCACTGCCTTGGCGCCGACCGAGAAGATAAAAAAGATCCTGGTCGACTACGAGGCTTCGAGGGAGAGCCTCGCCAGCCACGTGGCTGAGCTCTTCACCGTCATCGTACAGGACCGCCCAGAGGTCTACCTCAAGAAAGGGAGAAACCTGCAGATTGTGCAACCTGATGGTGAGACAGACACATGTCGGAAGCGAGACATACGTGACGTACGCGACAGTACAGTGTCTCTGACTTGCACTGCAGGCCACATCCCCAAGGCGTACAGCCATGCACGGCGCTTCCTCGAAATGATGCGCCTGAAGGCCGAGGTGGACTTGCTCCGTCAATACAAGAGCAACGAGAGGCAAATACAGGCATACTTCGGCCTCCTCAAATTCGCATTCGATCACAGGTCGGTAAATTCGTCAGCGCATGACATGAAAGGGGATCGGTCGACGCGACGCCCCTCGTCGCGCCTGCGTGTCTGCAGGACTGAGATCAACTCGGCGGCCATCTACTTACTCGACGCCTTTCACAGCCTCCTGAATTCTGGCAAGAGGCTGACGATGGAGATTCTCGAGCAAATCCTGACCTCCATGGTGCTGACGGAGTTCACGCCCTTCACATCCAAGCTCCTTTTGCGCACGAATGAAGCCATTGGGGCGACTGTCGACTTGCTGGCCGACTTCTTTAGACGCCATTTCCGCAACCTTCCCGGCGAGATAGCCCGACTGTTCAAGCGGGGGACGGCAATAAGTCGGCTAGCACCGCTGAAGACTACCACCTTTATCGACCTAACCGATAGCAGAGGGCCATGCTCGCCTCCCCAAAGCCCCCGGCAGCATGTGGCGTCACCGCCACCGGGCCACGAGGACTCGCCGGCTCCCGCCCTCGCCCCCGCCCCGACGCTTGCCCCTCTGGCCGCCAGCTCACCTCCCCCGAAGCGCAGACGTCGGGTGAACCTTCTCGATGACAGCAAGCCAATGGGTGCCCGGATACGTGAAATGCCTCTCTTCTCGCCCGGGAGACCTCGCCAGCAGCTCCCATCACAAACCGGCGGTCTAGCCGATGATTTGGAGACGGCAGACAAGCCGCCTTATTACTTTATGTCGTCTCGGCTGAAGCGGAGATCGCCGAATCGACAGTCGGTGATGTTTCGCCGGCTGTCGAGCGTCATGCGAGGGGACGACGCGGCAGTCGCCATGGAGGGGGCGAGGCGGCTGTCCATCAGGGGCGGCATGCGGGACTCAATGACGGCTCACGACATGGCTGCCTTCACGCAAGCTGCAGACCTACGCCGAGGAACCACCCACATCAGGCTGAGCATTCCTGCTCTTGATGTCCCTGCCGCTCCACATGTCTCCGACTCGCGGCTCTCCTCACAGCGGCAGTCGATTGTCTCCCAAACCGAGCGGATTAGATTGCCGCACATTCAGAAAGGGCCACGGTGACCTGCGCATGACATGTATGCGTGTGTTGGGAGAGTGGGGGTGAGGGGATGAGGAGAAGGGTGTTGCTCTACTGTGCTCTCAGAGGTGCCAGTATGCGTGTCCGATTTTGCTGCGCTCCGCTGTACTGTGTGTGCTGTGCTGTGTTTCCCCTCGGCGAATCGATGCTCTCTTTGTTTTGCTGTGCTAGCCCTGTCATTTACTCACTCACAGGCACAGGGGGAAGGGGTCCGTCGGTAAGCTTCTCTCACTAAACGGTGTCTGTCTGTCTGTCTGTCTGTCATGATATGTATACGTGCGTACGTATGCACGCGTGCATGTCATGTACCCACTTAGCTTAGTATGCATCCCATCGTACCGTCCGTTGACCCCCGGACCACTGGCTGCATGGACTGGGGCGGGGCGGGGCGGGGCGTGTATCGATGCCACTCCACTTGCCTGTCTGTCTGTCTGCCTGTCTGTGGACGGTACGGTGCTGTCTTGTCGTCTTGATCGAATTCTACACATGCCCAAAAAAAGCTTGCTGGCTGGCTTATAAGTTAGAAGCATCCATCCATCATGTACCTACCCCCCATCCCCACCACCCACCACACACAGGATCCGAAGTATGTATGGAACACAACCGAACACAGGCCGTACGTACGTAGGCAGCATTTTCTGTCGTTCGGCAGGTCACAATCCCTGCCGCCCTCTCTCTCTCTCCACTCCCCTCCCCTCACACATGGAATGGATCACACGCACACGCACATGGACACATGGACACATGGACATGCAGATGTTGGTACGAACACACGTATCCACACGCACACGCAGCACACGCCCAGACGCCATATATCGACAAAACTCAACGAGTCAACCAGTCCTTGCCTGCGCCCAGGTCCACACCCAGGCCAACAAAAAAAAAAGATAGAAATTGACCCATCCATCAGTCTAGCTGTTCCATGTATGGTCCACACATGTCTAGATAATAATAATATTGTCATCAATCAGCCATCCACCCCCAGAGAGGTGGATGCCACCACGGTATTGCACAGGAGGTCCCGCAGCTCCATAAAGTGGAACACGGACCTGTCGCACCCATCCCACTGCCGCGACGCCACATCAATGCTCGAAGGTGCTGCTGCTGCCGCTGCGGATGATGGTGGGGCGACTGGGATGGACAGCCGCACCCGCGTCACGCCCTTGTCGCAGTTCGGAACCGAACACTTGAAAAACACAAAGTCTGCACACAATATATGACAGACACATGAAAGGCATCGCATCGCATCTATCCATCAAACCGATGGAGTAGGTGAGGTGGGTGGGTGGGTGGGTGGATGGGTCTTACTTACCATTGCGTTGTGTCCAGTCGTGGGTGTCGATACGGAGGGGCTTGGCCGTCGTCTCGGTGTCATTAAAAAACACAGACACGGGCATCCCTGATGTGCACACCCTCTGCAGACCACACCACACACCCACATAAATCACACACAACGACCATCCCATCCACCATTATGGCTATATCTGAACTACCCCCCTCTCCCCTCCCCCTCTCCCTCCCTCTCACCTGCAGTGCATCGGCGACAGGTGTGCCCCTGACGTACTGCACGCTGACCAGCGTGCTCTGCCCGGCGTGTCGCATCAGCCCCTGACAGGGCGTCATCTTGCTGATCCAGGCGGTCTCGCCGTCGGGGCCGCGTGGCAGAGGGGGGTGGGAGGGAGGGGGAGTCTTTTGGAAGTTGGAGAGCTGCTGATCGGCGTCGTTCTCGGCCTTCCTGAAGGTGCTGTCGAGAAGGGTCAGTTGCTGCAGGATGTTCAAGTTGATCGGCACGTCATTGGGATCTGATTGAGGAAATGACACACACACGTGAGAGTTCCGTCTGTGTGTGTGTGTGTGTGTGCACGGCACTGACCTTCGTCTTCGGTGGCGGTTGAGTTGTGTCTGATGATGTCGAGCTCGCTGTACCTCACCGACGCAGACGCCGACACCGATCCCCCCTCCAGCCTGTCCCCCTCGCCCTCCGCCCCTTGGCCGTCATCACGGCCGTATCCACGGTCTGAATGTCCGTCGGTGTCCTCAGGAGGCGGGTATCGATGGATCGCCATGCTCGCCATGCGCCTCTTGGGCACCTCTATCCCGCCCACCGTCTCGCACGACTCCTCGCTCCCCTGTGTCGGCGACCGCAGGAAGAGCTTCCCGCCGTCCTTCTCGATGTGCACATCCTCACAGTTCAGCAGCCGATCCAGCCCACCCATCCCCACACACATCGACCGAAACATCTCCGCATCGGCCGCGTGTCTGGCGCTGCTGGTGGTTGCTGGCGGTGCAGTAGCTGCTGTGGGTGGTGGCCTTGTGGCGCCGGCTTGTGCGAAAGGGGGATGGGGGAGGGTGTCGTGTGGTGCTGGTGCGAGGGGCGGGGTTGACGGCTGCAGCCACGAGAGGGAGTTGATGACCGTCTGCTTCCCCTCGGACGTTGGCGACACATTGCCGGCGGCCTCTCGGTCTCTGTCCGCCCTGTCCGGCCGGGAGCCCGTTGACGGCAGCCACATACTCGGGAGGGACGGCCCTTCGTGGCCGAGGGAGGAGAACGGGGAGGGGTGGGTGTGGGGCGGCCCGTAGGACGTGCTCAGAGCCTTGGTCTTGAGGTCGGGCGGGGCCGCCACGGCCTTCATCGGCGGCGAGAGGCTCATGTCGGGCGCCAGGTGGCTGAAGCTCACCTTCACCAAGGACGTGCCCTCCTCACCCGCGCCGCCTGTGCTGCCAGTGTGAGAGCTTTCACTCCGCTGGATCGCAGGGGGCGGACACGAACTCGGTCTCGCCCGCACACGGTGGTTGTTGCTGCTGTGGTCCTTGCTGGGAGATGGATGCGACGCCTGTGCAGCCGGTTTGGTCGATTCCGTCACGGCTGGCGAGGCATCCGATTTGACAGCTGACGTGACGGGCGCCTCTGCCGAGACAGCAGGGGGGCCGCCGGGTAGGAGGAAGAGCGTTGCGATTGGCTTAAAAATAAGAGCCCAAAAAAGGAACGACAGCGTGATGACGCTCATCTGCACCCACACACACACAGACATACACTTCGAGCCCGGCACGAAGAGAAGGGGTGCGGGCATCTCTCTCTCCCTCTCTATCTCACCATATCAAGGGTGTCGTTGTTGATGAGAGTGACGACATAGATGGTGAGAGCGGTCCAGCTCTGCACCACCCACAGGCATGCGCGGCCGAGGTCCGACACAGACATGGAGCCAACAAATGGCGACATGCACGAAGGCCATGGAGCATGCGCCCACAGGGAAGCCGTGGATAGAGCCTGACACGCCAAGCAAGCAACAAAGAAAATCCCTAGATGGCCGTCCCGTCCGTGTGTGTGTCTTGTCTTGGGAAAGGTTGTGGCGGGCATGTTCCACTCACCGTAACGAGGACGCGGGCCAGCGGGAATGACGATGGCAGGAAGAAGGCAAGTCCGAGCACTGTGGCGTCGGTACCGAACTCACACGCCGACACCTGAGCGACACATGAGCGACACAGCAGACAGACACCAACAGAGTGGGACCAAGCCACCATCAACCACCGAGCCCTCTCCACCTCACTCACCCAAGTCCTGCGGTCCGCCGCCATTCTCTTCACCCACTCAACGCCCCCAGAGTACCAGAGATACCCAAGAGTCCCGCAGACAATCGCCATAAAGACGCTGGTCACCCAGCCACACACCCAACCCCCCCCCCCCCCC